CTTGTGGACAGCCTTCCCAGAAGAGTTGAAGCTGTTCTAGCTGCAAAGGGTGGACCGACGTCATATTGAACCCTATGGATTAGGAACGGGATGTCACCTAAGCTCATATGTGAGTCAAGGCAGGTGAGCAAATACTTTTGGCAATATAGTGTATGTCCAGTTAATTTGCTTACAAAATGCTGTTTCTCCCTGAAAAGTTACTGCAAGGTAATGCTAAATCCTGTAGTAAATAATAGGGAGGTTCAAATACACAATTTGAATCCAAATATGCTGTAATTTGCTTGAGCAGATATCAATATATTTATCAGTAAAATGATAAACTTTATGCTCACAAACAACTGCTTTGGTTTACCCTCCGGTCTGGCTGTTGGCTCCCTGCTCCAACGATTGATAGTAACTGTTGACATGTCATCTTTCAGTTTTGGGTTTGTCATTCTCTTAAATTCAGCAAAGTGCTGAATGTGTTGAAGAATAATGAGGATGCCATTTAATGCAGCAACCTTAGCTTTTGCTGCTAAAAACAACAATTACCATAATTAGAAACACAACTCCTCATTTATAGATTTGAGTGTTGATGTTTAGACATCTGCATGATAAGAATACTGACAATACTGACAAATCCAGTAATGTTTTACAGATTTTAACAGACAGAGAGTAAAACATTTATGAAACCTTATGAACCTTAGTCTACTGCTCATCTTCTGTGTCAAGTTTGATAAAACTGACTGAGGAATCTCAGATGCAGGTATGTTACTCAGAGGATATAAGCAAATCAGACCATAAAAGCATCAGAAATAATAATTATTATGAATGCCTTCTATACCATATGTGAGTGTTTGCAACATTGGTATAAAACTGAATATTTTCAAAGTATGTGGTTTTAACTTTATGGAAAGTATAATTTGTTCCCTGCTCATTTTAGGAAAGGAAGCAGTCTGGAAAATTGACTATGCAAAAATATGGACTTAGAGAAAATAACACAGAGCCCTTCTACATTAAAAGCTATTACTGGACAACTAATCTAAAGTTATGATTGATGTTAAACTCTTAGACCTATACAAATCCAAACAATAAGGAAAAAAGAAAGCAGTCTGAGGAGTAAATCATCTGGTTGAAATCAGTGTTTCTGACAGTGGTTTTGGGATAAGTCACGTCTTGCTGTTTATCTTTTACCTTCTCCTCAGAGATAGGTTTCGCCTTGGCTGTGCTGATAAATGATCCAGCAAAAATGTCAAATATATGAGAGCATAAACACAGCTCAAAGAGCTGGCATTAGAACACACCCAGACTCAGGGACCTAAACAGGAAATCTTTCCTCAAGTGGGTGTTTTGGTGTTTACACTGACGGAGGCTAAATCAGAGAAGAGCTTTGCCTCTGTGCAAATTAAATATTATAATTTAGGGGGTTATTTTATTGTGAGTCTGTGTGAAATGGGAACTGCTGCTTCTGAACAGAAAGCATGTTTGTTTTGCTCTTTGAGTTCTGTTTTAGATAAACTGAGCGAAGGTTTGCTTTGGCTACAGAAACAAATGACCTCTGACCCTGACTTCGTACTCCTTCCATCAAATGTTGTTTGCTTTTGACTTCCTTCAATCCCATGTTGCAGATGATTACGGCACCCTGCTGATGGCTGAGGCCCTGCTGGAGGAGTGCTTGCTGGAAAATATGGATCTGTTGCGCAGCTCAACGCCTTTAATGGACAAAACTCAGGCCCGACTCTCCAAGGCCAAAGGCTACCTCAACACCATCCTGAGCCGAGGCCGCCTCACAGTCAGTCTAATCTGGGTCCCTTCTGGTCTTTTTCTGGGTCCAATCATTTGGAAATAACTACCTAAAAGTATTTACTCAGGGAACCAAAACCTTTCCTCTGATTTATGCCATTGTTTGTGTGACCGTCTATTTCTTTGTCTTTCTGCAGCCGAGGTACTTAAATGAGGCTCTGCTGCTGATGGCCAAAGTGCACTACGTTCAGGGCCGGTACCGGGACGCCCAGGGAATGTGCGCTAGGGTGGGACTGGAGGAGCTGACTCAGGATGACCAACCAGTCTACCACCTCCGCTTATTGGCTGAGGCATTTGTCATTAAAGGTACTGTACCTCACAAACAAGTGAGAGAGATGGATATGCTGTTCTGTTTTTGCTGGAATTGTAAGGGTATTGTGAAGGTTTGTGGCAAATATTTGAAAAAAACCACCCTCTCCACTTAAAAAAAATCACATGCACAACCCTGTACCCACTCCCAAGAGATAGCGCCTGTTAAACGTGTGTAAGAGCGTGCACGAGCCAATTTCTCCTCATGCACGCTCTGTTTAAAAGTTGCTGTTTGCATCGCTCATACAAACTTACTTTCCAAAAGAAGATTTTCAATTTTTCCACCATGTCAGACTCACCAGCGGTATGTGAAAACGGGGAAGTGCACATAGGACAGCCTTACATAAACATATCCCCAGAATGATTGACAATTAGGATGACCACTTATTTTGATGATACACCCAGAAAAATAACATCCTCCACTATACCTTTTAAGTTGGAGAAAAGGATTTTGTTTGGATAAACATTTCTGCAAATAGTAAAAAGAAAAAAAATTGGACGCTGACATGTTAGTTTGATTTGTCTTGGAGTCTTCTAGCTACTCAAAAATCATATATCCCAAGAACTTCTACAGTAAAGGAACTAGGTATCCAGGCTTGGAGGAGCCAACTCCCTTCACACAGAAAACCACTAAAGTACAATCTAAAGTTCATAGCTTATAGATTCATATCTACCACCAAAAAACCCCCCCCCAAAAAAAAGAAAACAAGACCTTGATCTCAACCAGAAATCCAGATATCTACAACTGGAGCTTTAGAGACATTTTATTAAAACCATAAACAAGACCATAGAAAAGAAGCTACAAAGATGGAGTAGAAGTTGCACCAGAAAATAGTCCAGCTTTTGTTGAGAATGCTTAAACCGCTCCTGCTTTAGTTGCAAAGAGAGTTCATAAACCTTATAGGCTTATAAATAGTGATGTCAACGGACTCAACAATAACAGACATAATCCATCTAGACTGTTTTCTATAATTCAGTTTGTTTATTAAGTTAATTATCATGATTAGGGCCACGAATGATTACTTTTATAATTAATCAATTAATAATGGGATAGACAAAGATTCCTTAAAGAAGATTTTTTTTATGAAGTTAAACCAGGTGAAACTCAAACTTTTCCACTAGAGGATTTCTGGATAGAGCTTATTGACAAATGGATTTTTTTTTATCTTAAATGCAAAATGTTTATATATATATTTTTTTTACAATCTAGGTATAATTACTGCCCTAAGTGGGTCGCTCTGTGAGCTTAAGGCATGTTTACGACATGGAATGATAATTATTTCGATAATTGATTACTCACGATTAATCCGATTAATTATTTCAGCCCTAATCATGATTATCCATAACAGAAAGTCTGTATATCTGTCTGTTTGTCTAAAATACAGTTTGACATAATCATACAGTGTATATTATAAATAAAATATAGAAAAATAAGTATGCATATAAGGTGTATTAAGGTGAAGTAGAATAATGTAAAATCATAGATTTTTCAAGTCAAGAATGTCGGCCTGATTACAGGTATCTCCATCCACTGTGCAGTAAAGGCACTCAATGCTGGGTAAGGACTCCTTTTGCATGAATTGCTGCATCAGTGCTGCATAGGATGGAGGAGAATCAGCTTGTAGTTTTGCTGAGGTTCTCAAAAATCTCCTTAATCATTTAATTGTGGGTATCAGCTAGGCTGCATTGTTTACTCTGTAACAGTAAGACCACAATCCTGGGTGTTTTTACCCTTGAGCAGGTGCTGGGTTCCTGCAGGAAAGTGAAATAAGCATCTTCATAAAACTTCTCAGTGGATGGAGGCATGAATGCTCTGAAGTATCTTGGTAGACACTGAGTTTGGATCTGACAGAGAACAATGTTTAGCTCAAAGAAGAATTTGACCACTGAGAAATACACATTTTTTTCTACTTTTTTTCATTTGCCCACATGTAAGGCAGTTCAGATATTGCTGCTTGTTCAGAGGTAGATTAACAGGAAATATGATGGTTTTATAGGACACCTGTTGTCAGGTTGGAGGTTTGAGAGGAGGACCCAAATGCAGAGACTGAAGCTGGAGCTGGTTTCTTGTAGATTTAATAAAAAAAGATGGCAACAGAAACAAAAACCAAAAATAACAAAATACTGAAATCCAGGGAAACTCACAAGAAGGGCAAAGAAATGATGAGAAGGAACCAGCAAATAGTGACTGAACAGGAGGTGTATATATCAGAGACAGAAACAAAAAAAACAGGCTAATCAGCAGAATGGGAGCAGGTGTGGACAGAGGAATCCATTGGTTGATTGATTAATTGACTTAATTGATCCCACAGTGGAGAAAATTACTCGTTACATCAGCTCAAATGATCAAAAAGAGAAGAAGAATGTGCCAAAGAAAGAAAAGGTGCATGGAATATATACAGTATATACAGTATGTCCACATATGAAAGCCTTTTTTTAAATAGGTGGTTATTTACTTGGGTATTTATGTAGAAGGATATTTATACAGTATATATATATAGCTATTGCAGTGGGTGTTAAATATAAAGAAACAGGTTATAGCACAGGTATTAAATAGTAATTGCACATAGAAGGGAGCTAGGGGAAAGGAGACTGACACAAGACGGCAATAGAGGGCAAACAAGAAACATAAGAACTCAAATACAATAAAAAATAACTAGAATAGCACAAGATGGAAACCAATGAAAACGCAAAGAGAAAACTTAAAACAGAAACACAACATGACATGTGTAAAGTCTGAAGCCTTATATTACTGTAAGACATTGTTATGAACACAGACAGAAGCTAATGGTGGGAACATATTCATCTGTGTATTGATGTGTTACAAAATAAACACAAGAAATTAGAAATGAAGAAAGCTTGTGAATATCAACCTGTTTGTGCAGTTTAGAGCCCATCAGGAAAACTGTAAAGTCTACAGAGCAATAGCTGTAGGATGTGTAAAAATACACACCGGCCGGCAAAACTAAACGTTGATTCCTTTTCTGGGAAATATGAAACAAGCAAAAGCAAAGTGACCTTGTCTGTTGGTCTGAAGCTACCCGGCTATAGAAGGAGTCTTTTGAAGCAGATGGGACATGGCTGGAAACCGTATGCTTTATCGGGGGAGATAGTCGCGGTCAAGGAGTGTTTGAATCCCTACCTGAGCGTATAAACATGAAAGAATAAATAAGGTTTTTATTTTCTGCTTGCTGTCCTGAAATAGTATCCTGAAATTTGACAGCCTTGAAAGTATAGAATCTGCTGTGTGATGAAGTTTGGGGTTTTTAAGGGAGATCAGATCTAACGTCATGTTGTCTGTTGCTGGGCTCTGAGCGCTGGCATCAATAGAGGCCGTAGATCACACTCACAGAACACCCGCACTCTATGTAACCTTGTTTCACTCATCATCATTATGTCGTTACCCTCCCTGTTTCCTGATAATCGGACATGACCTCATGCTTATGAAACATTAAGGCATATTACTGCAATAACTGTCAGATTTAGATTTCCTCTGCTTGTTTTGATTCCCCCTGAATGATATTTACTGTCGGTCGCAGCAGAAGCTCCTTCTCAGGCCTCTCTGTGGGATATGAAGCTCTTTGCTGTGGGAATCGAGTCAGACGTGGATGCTGTCTGACGGCTGGTGGCTGTCTGCTTATTTGATTTGGCCTGGCGTCGAGCCCCAGGCTGCTCAGCACCCCAGGCCCTCCTTCCCATCTTGGAAAGTTCTTGAACTCCTTGAATATTTGCACTAATGGGTCCAGTTTGAACATCTGGTCTTCCAGGAACCTGATTATCGTTTCCTGTATGTTTCTGTATTCACTGACAGCAAAGAGATATGATGCAATGAAAGTCTAAAAGTAAATTAGCATTAGAGAGACAGAAAAGTTTATATTTTTAGCTTCTACGTCAGGAACCAGTGTCATGATCTGCCATTTTGGACTTTTTAGGTTCTGTGTAAGTTTTCAATTTGAGTTCTCCATTATGCTTTATTTTATGTTAGTCTGTATGTTCAATATTTCTATAATTTTTGAATTCTTAGTTTTACCCTTCCTTGTTATCTCTTTTCAGCATTTTTGCTTATTATTTATTCTTTGGTCTAGTTTTAGATAGTTATTCTTTCCTTTCCCCTAAGTTCCTTTCTAGCTGTTTCTATCCAAACCTGCTCCCAATTAACTGATTACTTCATTCTTTGTTCTGTCTCCCATATATACTCCTCCTCTGCAGTTACTCAGTACTGGATTTTCTTCATTGCTTTGCTCCTTGTGTGTGTTTCTCACTGGCGTCTCCTGGTTTTGGTTTATTTTCCCTGGTTTTGGTTTATTTTTTGGTTTTTGGTTTATTTTTGTTGCCGTCTGCTTTTAAATTGAATGTGCAAGAACTCATGTCTGAGAATCAGCATTTTTTTGCTGATGGGCAGCAAAAAAAAAAAATGTTGATGTCTGGATGGTATTTTCAGTCAGCTTTTCCACTTTCCTTTTTTAAGTATACTTTATACTAAATGAATTTCGAACCTAGCGTTGACAATAACCTTTTTTGATGCCGTGGAATGTGAAGCCCTTTCTTCTTTCCATGCCCGTCTGTAATTGTGCTGACTGGTGAGCTTAGTAAATCCAAACAGAGGCCCATTTATTTTCATGTATTGATTCATCCCAAAACTTGGAGAAAAACAGGAACAAACATGGAGCCAGAATTCAAATGTTCCAAAAGCTAAACCCAAACAATTAAAGAACCAGAACTGTTGGTGTCTAGGTAGACTAGGAAGCAACTGGAAAACCACTGAAAATAAACACAAACTGAAAAGGTGTGAATTTAATTTGTTTTTCTGTCCTTAGAAGTGGGAAAAGGACAAAAAGGGAAAAAAAAGGATGAGGAGCATAGGTTGGTTTTATGGTTGTGGGGATAGAGGATATTCAGAGGGTGGGTTTGATAGACGTGTGGGCTAAGCCGGAGGCTGATGATCTGGAAGATCTGAAGAGAAAAGGATTTTTCGAATGTGTTTTTTTTCTCTATAAGTGCAGAAGGCTTTCTGTGTTTCAGACTTTAACTGTTTGATCAAGCAGCCATCATCATCATTGTCTATGCATTCCTTTCAGGTCTGTCTCTGGACCACCAGACGCTGTCGGCTGTGTCTCGCATTCGTCTTTCAGAGAGAGAGGAGGAGAGTCTGTCCTGCTTTCTGAGGGCGTGTGATGCAGCTCTGTCCTACCTGCAGGAGCTTGATAAGGTTGGCCTTCTTTTATACACAGTATGCATGATGTTGACATGTTTACATGATAATACCAGTTTATGCTTTCAGATGGTAACCACCCCCCATGCCAAAACCACCAAAGGCAGCCTGCTCTCTGCACCTGTTGATGTTGATCTGGGCTTCTTCCTGCAGGCAGCCCTGCAGAGTGCTTACCTCTGTCTGCTGCAGAGAGGGTGAGTGCAGCAGAAGTACAACCAGCTATTCCTACATTGTCTAAAAAAGGTTTGCAAACGTTTATAGGTAAAAAAAAAAAATCTCACCTGGAAAGAGACTCAGCTCTCTAGATTGGCTTTCATCTAAATGGCATCTTTGCTTATCTTTTTCGGACCGCTTAAAATCAGGGCTTTATTCTGGACCTGTGGTTCTTGAGCCTAAAAAAGTATTAAAACCGTTTTTATAGAGCACAGATTATACCTTAATCAGCAGCCTACACCTTGTTTAAACACCCAGCATGAATCACAGGCATTAAAAAAGGGTTATTAATGACTTATCTTAACCCTTTTGACCTTGACTCACTTTGAACACAACTTCTGTTGTTAGCCAGGCTGTTGTTTCATCATTAAACTAACAAAAACACCAGCATTTTTTCAGGAAATAAAACACTTGCTTTAAATGTATATATTTACATTTATTAAATTTTTAGAAGTGAATCTATATTGGAAAAGAACAAGTTTGTCAACTGTTGTCTGCTTTTATATAATCTATTGTCGACCTGATCTGAAACATCCACACATGCTTAGTAATATTAGGAGTTTTTAAAACTTTAAATCGTATTTGAATGATATCCAAATATTCTCCACCTTTAATCTGACATTTAATGAGTAGAATTCAAATGAAAAGAAGCAAAATCAATTAAAACTACCCAGGTGGACAAGATAAATGTTTGCTTGCTTCAATTAAGATCCTGTTAATGAACTGATTTAGTTGTGTAGTTTTCTTGGTTTTAGTTATTATTGGAATCTTAACAGAAGGCTTAGGTTGTCAGTATGTGATTTACTGGAAGGGTTTCTTGTCTGTCTATTAGATTTTGCTCGAACAAGATGTGATCATAGATATGAACCACTAGGTGTCAGTGTTGCACTGAAACAAAAATATATGTAAATCTCTGATGAAGGCCTCAAGTTTCAGATTGACCAGTGTTTCCATTTGTATTTGATCGGATGGCCATCCTTTATTCACCAACTCTCCTCATTCTCCTGTGTTTGTAAATGAAAATACCTCCGGGCTTTTTTACATTATTTGTCTGAAACTGCTATGATTTCATTTATTTTTACTCAAAAATCTTTGCATCAAAGTAACATAAGCCTAATGTGTGTGGAAGTCATCTTGCACAGGGAGCTCACCAGCTGCGTAGGGTGCTCAGGGTGGTGGAGTCACGAGGGTCTCAGAGCTTCAGGAAGGTGAGGGAGCTGCCTTGCAGGCTCAAACATCCACATATTGTGGAATTGAAAAATAAATACAGCGTTTGATTTCTGATGGAATCTGAATCTGCATTGATGTTCTGTTGGTTTGTGTTCGTTCTTGCATCCCAGTGTGCAGCCATGAAACTAGCACAGGTGCTGCTGAGCTCTGTAAGTGAGGACAGCTACTGGCCCCCGCTTGGGCCCCCGCCTGCAGTCTGGCTCCAGAGAGAAGGAGCAGCCGCCTCCAAAGACGCCATGTACCCCACCGTTAAACCACCACAGCGTTACGGCACAGATTGGTACATATCGTCTCTGTTTTCCAGGAATCGTGTCGTTAGAACTGGGTTTTAATACTTGAATACTAGAATGTTAGTTTCAGTAATCAGCTCAGCTTTTTCGGAATTTTTCTCACATTTTGTCACATTAATAACGTCTGTGTATCTCTTTGGGATTTTGTGTGATGGACAAACACAAGAGGAACAGAACTGAATTAGGAAAATAAATGTGTGACATGATTTTCAAAACATTTTACAAAAAAAGTAATGAAGATGCCCTGAGGTCCATATTTATTTGAATGTAGCTTAGGCTGAAGGTTTTAGGAAAAGGAACTCCTTCACTGACTCAAGTCTTCTGCAGTTTTTTTCCATGATTATTTTCTGTATATAATCATGCATGATGTTCAGAGCTCTCTGTGACTGGCCTCCATGTTTATGCTACAGGAAAAGCATTCCCACAGCATAATTCTGCCACCACCAAAGACATGATTGGTGTTGGCAGAATTGCATGATTGGTTGATGGGTTGAATATATTTTGCTATGTGTAACAGTAAAATGTATGTTATTATGTAAATAATAACAATATATAAAAGAAAAAAAAGACTTGAATACCATCTTTCATGACTTGGAGGGAAATGTTTTTCTTGCCACTGTTCCATAAAGACAGCTATGTGAGGAATGCAATATTAGTTATCCTGTCAACAGATTCTTCCACCTGAGCTGTGGATCTCTGCAGCTCCTCCAGAGTTTCACTGCTGCATCCCTGTTGAATGCTGTCCTTGGTCGGCCTAACTTTCACATCAGGGTTTGGAAAATTAACCCTGATTGAAACCTTAAAATAAATAATAAAAATAATAAATAAATTTCAGTTTATTGATCTCTCAAAAAAAAAAAAAATTAAATTAACTATGCATTTAACCCATTCCCTTTTGGGGAGCAGTGGGCTGCCGCTGTGCCGCGCCCCAGGAGCAATCAAGGATTAAGGGTCTTGCTTAGAGAGCCAGGGTTTTGAACTCACAACCGCAGGATTCCAAGCTCTATGCCCTAACCACTAGGCTGCTACTCCCCCTTTCCATCATATCTCTGATACAAATACAAGTCAAAATGTACAGATTTGTATCTGATACTTTATGTTGATCTGTAACGTTTTCAAAGTTTCAAAGTATTTTAAACTCAAATACTTTGAAAATGTGTAACATTTGAATGGATGTGAGCATAAACAAAGGTAGCATAGTCAATTGGAAGACAATCAACAGGTGGAACACGTCCTCTAAGATTCAAATAGGACTTTCTCAATCCTGAAAGCAAAAGCTTGTTATCTGATCTGCTCATCATTCTGCATCACCTTATTATCGTTTCATTTCTGCCTTTCACTCATTGCAGGGATCCTGCAAACATTGCCCAGGCCCCGTGAGCCATACTTAGTCACCACATGACTAATCCAGCCCACACTATCATAAGTGAAGATCTAAATCCATGTCTGAGATTAGCAGGAGTGGAGGAGCAGAATTCCCCTGAGGAATAGCTGTATGTCAGTGTTGATGATTGCTTTTATCATCGCATAGATTTTTTTGTTTTTTTTTTCTTCATAAAAGGCTGCGGTGATGTCTGCAGATTGTGTCCTTCAATAGGACATAGAAGGGATGTGTGTGTTTGTGTTTGTATGTGACATCTGAGATGATGCTGAGCGCTGATACATCTGTGGGGGTCTGTATTGTGTTACAGCTCCGCAGGTGAGACAGAAACCAGACACTCTCTGTAATCCGCTGTTGTTCTCTTTGTTTGTGTTTGCGAAACAATGTAAAACTTCCTGTTTTGGACCTTTTCTGTTTTTGTTTTTTTTTGTCTTTACAGCTGCTTCTGTCCACAGGACGTGGTGGAGGAGGCAGTGCTGCTGCTGCTCATCACAGAATCAATGGTGAGGCGCGCTCATACAGTACTAATACTGTTCTTCATAGGGGCCGGCTGTCCTGACATCTTTTTCCCCCCTCTTTCAATCCAAACAGACCAGCGGTGAAGCGGTGATCAGCCGCCTGCCCGACCAGGCCGAGGCTCGCCAGGCCAGCCTGCAGGATGCCACCTCCGTCTATGACCTGCTTACCATTGGCATGGCCAGGAGGGGGCAGTACGCCATGCTCTCTGAGGTGTGGCAATAAATGTGGAGGTCAGAGGTTTCCCAGCAACATGACATCTGGAAGGTTTCTTTTTCCAGACTGAATCCCTCTTTGTTTCAAACTCCTGGTCCTAATATGACCCCCACCACAGAGAAGACCTCAGCTTAGGTTTTCTGGCTTATTTGTCTAAACTGTGGAAAGCATCAATTAGAGGTTTTCAGAATATTACACAGATATTAGTCACCATCAGGCATTTTTGATGTCATAATAAAATCATTCATAATTTGTATTTTTATGTGAAAGCATTATTGAATCACAGTGATCTGTGAGGCTGACAGTGCTGATATCAACAAACAGGAAAATCTGTATTTAACTCTTGCTTTGTGTTTATAGAAGCAGCATGAATGTTAAACAGTCAAGGTTTTGTATTGAACTTCATTTTTATTCACTCTGACCTACATATTATCACCTAAAGCATCTCCAAAGTATGCCAAATAAAGTTGAAAGAGGGTATTTCATACAAATAAATCATGTCTTCTAACATACATCATTCAACAGTTAAAGGAACCTAAAGGAAAGGTCAGAGTTTAGAAAAATCCTATTGGGCATGAAATGACAAAAGAGAATTCATTGTTACTTATCTAGAAAAAATACGGACGTCTCTACGCTTTTATCCACCAGTTCATCCCTCTTAGGAACCACTGATTGTGCTCAAGAGGATCAGGCATCCTGTTTTAGATTAATGGAGGTTACTGTAAGTTGTCTTCAGATTGTCCTCCAAAACAAAAGCAGAAGTCAGGCTTAGTTATTTTATGTATTCGCCTCTGGCAAGGCTGATTCTTCATTCTGCAATGGGAGCATTGATCTCATATTTCCAACATCTTTTTCTGGGGCAGTATTCCTGCAGATGATTTTTCCCAAAAAATAAGAGATAAAGATATACCGTGGATATAAAAAGCATCCCTGCCAGAAAACTAATTTTATGTAAAAAAAAAGAGATATAGAAGGTCCTATATTAAGCAAAACTAACATTATAAACATTTTTGTAACAGTCATATGTGTCCTGAAGCCTGTGTATGAGATTCAGAAAAGAAAAGAACTCTTTCAACTCTATCATTACCTTTCTTCTCCTCTTAGCTAATGTTTGCTCAAAATGTTCTGTCTGAAAAGCATTCCCCTTATGACATCATATGGGGAATCAAGCCATCCAGAACAGTCTTTAGCAGCCCATCATTCAAGCTACGGCCTTAATTTTATATAATCTTAGACTCTTAAGCTATCATCACAAACTCTGACTGGTTGTCATGGTTGCGCTATGTGGGGGGCGTGGTCTTTGGAAGGACAGTGCTATGGAAAGCAAATGCTGTCTGCCTAACCTGAGAGGAATTTTCCTGCACAAGCGGCATCAATTTTTAGTTCAATGTCGGCATGCAGTCCTGTTAGCTGAGAGACAGTTTGAGTCCCACTTTTTAAAGGACTTTTTTTTTCATTCTAAAAAACGTTAAATTTCGAAAAGACACAATTTTCTTAGACTCTTCATTTAGGAAGGTAATATCTGTAAATCAGGCAAACCTTAATCCTCCTGACCCAATAGTTATTATTAATGTTGGTTCCCAATGTCCAAAGTCATTATCATGGTTTATGGCAAAAGACTTCAAACTGATAACAAATAAAGACTTAAAATATTTTAGTCTTGCTATAATGAATCTATATATGAGTTTCACTTCTTTAAAATGAGCAACAACAAATTCACAATATTCAAATACTTTATATGTACATGGATACACCTCCACTGATATTTGGTTAAATGTTCCATACTGTTTTGGAACATTTCACAAAGTAGATTAAATAAAAACATATTCTTTAACTTGACCTCAAATCAGCAACTAGAAGGTTGAAATACGGCACAGTTGGTCGTTCCATCACAACGATCCAAAACAAACATCCAGACTGGTCATGAGAAACTAAAAAAAAGGCTAAAATAAGGCCTCTAGAAATAACAGACTGTAATTAAAAGATATGAACCATTCCATAAAACCAATGAATTCAAAGAACTTTACCATTTCTGCTAAATATCCAGCCTGATGTTTGGCTCTACAAAAAGCATCTGGTTTCCATGTAATTTGGATATAATCAAATCTCTATCAACTAGAAAAAAATAACAATAGGACCAACTTGAGGATCAATTTCTTATTTAAAAGCTATGCTGTTATTTGCTGTATAATCATTTCCCCCCCGAGAATAAAAACAACAACATTCAATTTGAATCATTAAAAGCCTAAAATTACCTCCTTTCAAGTGGCAAGTATTTGCCAAATTCTGACATAATAGCAGTAGGGTCCCCTTAGGGTGTTGTGGGTCGGCTCCTCCATAAAATCACCAACTCAATATGGTTAAAGAAGCCTTTACCTCACGACAGGGTCCCCTGCAAACTTAGAACAAAGAAAAACCTGAATTGGAACGAATAACCAAATAAACTAAATGGATGCCAGGATACCTCCCTGGATTCAGACCTGTGTGGGGGAGGGGGTAGGGCCCTGTCTTTTCATTAAGAGCATAAGGTTTAATCATAACATCAGGCAGACCTCATTTCCTGCTTGACTGACAACCTCTGACTGAGCGAAACCCCACACGTCAATCACATCATTGTGCACTGAAACGGCAGAGTGTGCGCCGAGCGCTGACTGACAAGCACTTTTCAAGCTAATTTAGTCCAAGAAGAACAACAAAAAGGATGACGTAGTACATCTGCATGTTCAAACCTCCTCTTACTTTCTAAAAGCTGCATGATTGAAACATGTTAATGTGTCTGTTTGTAGTGCCTGGAGCGAGCCATGAAGTTTTCATACAACGAGTTCCACCTTTGGCACCAGCTGGGCCTGTCACTCATGGCGGCCGGAAAGGTAAACTCATTTTTCCTTAAATATCAACTCCCACTTCTCACCCAACAGACCTTAGCCTTGTGTCCCACTATCCTCCACATTTTATATGGTCTGAATAAAACCATTATCTGATAAATTACCTTTCTTTTCAATCTGTAATATTACCATGCTTAAGGGGAATAACTGGAATAACTCCAGTTATTCTCCCTCATGTCTCTCCCTCTGTGTGCTAGTGTGTTCTTGTGTCTTTGTCCGACAGAGAAATTGATCTGTTCTGTGTGATAAAGCTACCTCTCTGATCAATGGGGATCTCTAGAAATAGTCTGCCCCCTAAAAGGAGAGGGGGGCCGCCTTGGTGACGTCAGATCCACTTTTATCCAGGGCTTGCCCTGGTGTCTGTGTGTGTGAGTGTGTGCCTTTGTCAGTGTACATGAGGCCCATTAATGATTGACCCACATGTATTAAGTGACTGTGTTTCTAAATGAGTCTATTAGGGCTGTGTAAGGACAGACGATGTGCGTTTAATACTCTCACTGTTTGACTGATTGTCATTCCTGTTGTGTGTGTTTTCCAGTGGGTCGGTGCTGTGTCTGTTTTTAAAGAATGTGCCAGGATGAGACCAGACGACCCTTCTTTGCCCTTACTGGCTGCTAAAATCTGCATCGGCCAACTGCACTGGGTGAATGCAATACCTGTATACCAACACATATTTAAAGCGCATAACTGCAATGTTAAAGGAAAACTCCGGTCAGCAAGGAGCAACCAATGGATCATTATTTATACCTAAAACTAATATGTTCGCTGTGATTTAATGAATTTAGCATTAATCAGTAAAATAAGTAAAACAATATTTTTCGTTGCGATCACTGAGTCTGGGAGCAGCCATTTTTGCGCAAATATAGTAACACCTCACTCCTGACATCTTCTGGCAGTGACGTCGCAGTGCTGTAAGCCTAGCGCTGTTCTCCCCGCTTTACAAGCAAAATCAATGCAAAGTCAACATTTTATCAATTAAAAGAGCTACTAGACAACCCTGCATTCAACAACAATTATTAAAGATTTCCAGAGGACTTCACCATTGAAATTTGCGAGAGCTATAGTGAAACTGACAATGCCCACATGCATGGCAGTTGGAGGTTGTAATTCATCAGGTAAAAGTGAAAAAAAAAGTAGTTATTTCACCTTCTCAATTCATAATCCTCCACGGACGGGTTTGTTGTTGGATTACCAACTTGAAGAGGGAGGATTTGCCATCGAACTTCTGGCCAGAGAAGAAACATGCCATTAATCCGTTACTCTCTGCTTTGTAGAGTGAACTTGTTGTTACCATCATGGAAAATAGAGCGTTGTGACAAACACCAGATACAGCACTAGGACTTGCTCAACAGCCGATACCGCACTGTGACGTCACAAACCAGTAGGTGGCAGTAGTGCTCTCTGACAAACATGGATGTCTCTGGTAAAGCATATTCATATGAAATTACTCTTAATTAAAAACAGTTATCATTTATCCAAAATATGTAATCATTTCATTCTTAAAGGGCTTTCAGAAGTTTCTATTCTATCATATTTTGAATCGGACCGGACATCTCCCTTTAAACAAAAAGGTTTAATATATTTTGACCACCAGTCTATAATAAAAGAGGCAAGCACAAGCAGGTAAGATCAGATAAAGAGCATCTGTTTTGTTACTTTTTAATAGGAAGAATCTTTCACCTGAGCTATGGATCTCTAAATGAAATAGAATAAATGGCACCCAGGAGTCCCCATGGTTTAGTGGTTTAAATCACCTCTAAAAAACATATCTTTATTTTACTCTGTATTTATAGTAAAATGTAATAATAATAAATCATCGTATTTATTCATATATTTACTCAAATTATATTTGATTCATAATTTTAGATGTTTTGGGAGTGGTGGCCTAGTGGTTAGAGACATGCTGGTGCTCTGAGAAGGTTGCAAAGACCTATTTCGATCCCCACAACCTGCACTCTGGGTCCCTGAGCAAGACCCTTAACCCCTGATTGCTGCCCAGGAGACAGTTAAGATGCAGAAGTGAATTTCTCCATTGTAAAATCAATGATTTTCAATTATTATTGATTATTATTATTGTATTTTTCATTATTTACCAGGACATTTAATTTGTTCATGGCAATTTTTTTTTATAATTTAATGGTTAATTTATTGTAATATTTCAATCAATATTAAGAATAATTACCATCTAAAATATAATGTACATATTTTATGGAGAATTTTAATGTGTGTATTTTATGATACATTTGGCCCCTTCTACACCTGAGCGATCACATTACAATGAATATAAATGATTCCCACTTTGGAAACCCCTGCTTTAAATCATTCAGTAGGACGCAGGGGACCTGGGTTCAATTCCTGGTTGCGTCAGGAAGGGCATCTGCTCTAAAGGCTTCTGTTAAAGGAAATTATACAGATTGAAAGTCCTGCTGTAGTTCCTGGATTTTCTGTTTCAGAAAGCTGGATGGCTTTTTACTGAGTCAATTTATACCATAAGTTACTCTGGTTGTTGGCAGGATTTCTTGAAGTTATCCTGAGTCTGTTGACATTTGATCTGAGATCAAACACAAGAAGTAGGTGTATTTTTAGGGCAGATTCATAAATTGTTGAGCATCAAAATCTTAAACAGAAATAATTATTTATCTCATTAATATTTCAGCCGTAGATCATCATATCATATTCATATAATCCAACAATGACATGTTTTTTGTTCTGCACTTCGTTTATCTGCTAAAGAAAATGTTTACAAGCATTGCAAAAGGCTCAGGAGACGACTCTGGAAGCTACTGACAGTGGCATGGAAGAAGAACTACCTTCCTGATGACTGGCTGATCGCAGAGGGGTGCTTCATCCCTAAGGAGGAGAACTCTTCAGGGATCAAGCAGTTTCGCACCATCTCACTGCTCAATGTGGAAGCTAAGATCTTCCTGGGGATCCTGGCAAAGAGGTTGACCACCTTTATGTTGGAGAACGGGTACATGGACACTGCGGTACAAAAAGGGGGCATTCCAGGGATATCTGGCTGCCTTGAACATACCAGCGTTATCTCCAAAATCATTGAGGACGCGAAGAAAAACCATGGCAACCTGGCAGTACTGTGGTTGGATCTGTCAAATGCTTATGGAACAATACCCCACAAGCTAGTGGAGCTGACGCTGAAGACCTACCATATACCTAAGCGATTTCAGGCGCTTCTGCAATACTACTTCGACGGATTCAACATGCGTTTCACCTGTAGGGAGTTTACCACCAACTGGCAGAGACTGGAAGTGGGCATTGTCACAGGCTGCACGATTTCAGTGATCCTTTTCTCCGCAGCGATGAACCTTCTCGTCAAATCAGCAGAGAAGTTGCGTCGA